CCTCCCCGCCCAGAATTATCATCCCTATGCAGAGACGGGAACCTCAGTAAGGCCACGTCATCATCGTGTTATTAGGATTAGGTTTTTTTTGCTCTCGATGGTCGAATTTTCAGTTTTCGGCCATGTTCTCGGAGAGCGCTTTCCCCCCCCCCCCCGCCGTTTCCTGAAAATGCTGTGCTGGGCCCTCAGCCACGAGTCCTCGAACATTGCGAACAGTACAAGGAACTCCGAGACAATTCCAACCAGGTGATTCTCGCAAGATGGCCTCCAACAGCTCCCAGTCGGTCCAATAAAGTTTTTATACACAAATGAGGGAAGCGGTATTACAATAAAGCAATGCGTTCTCAGTGTGCGTCGCTGATTGCCATCCCTCCTTGCATGATGTTCCCAAATGACTTCAAGACGGCTCCAAAGCATCCTCATACAGCTCTGATTCCAAAGCGACTACCCATCGGGTCATAAGGAGGTTCGGGGCTGTTTGTATCGGTACATTTGCAGAAAAGGACGCCCTATCCCTGATGTTTTTGGCCCTCCCAGCTTAGGTCCCCTCCCAGAGGGTCGGGGGTCCTCTTTCGGTCAATCGTTGTAGCTTTCTTGCTCTGGTTAGGGGGCGACGATTCTGGGCAGCCTCCGTGGGGGCGCGATTTCGTCATACTTTGCAAACGATTGTGGCCCCGGGGGAGCGAAGCCAGTGCCCTTTGCAGAGGGCTTTTCGGCCTCGGGGGCGCGTGCCTCGGGTCCTCTGCGAAGATCTGCAGCTTCGTAGGCGCGGATCTGGTGGACAGTCAACCCGCACAGAAAGGATGGGCAGCCTTCCCAAGGGTATCCTTGCATCCTTGCCTCCTCGGTCCTTACTTAGCCGCTTTCGTTGGCCGCGCCCCGCTCGACGAGCTTCGAGGTGGGCGTCCGGGGCCCTTGCATCCTCGTCGCGCATCCTTCTGATACGGGCCGACTGTACTTTGGAGGGCATGGTGGCCTCGGGGGCGCGAGCCGATTCTGTGATTCGCAAACGTTCTCGTGGGCGCGACCCTGCTGCAATCTGCGGGGGATCGTCGATGGCAAAACTATGAGATATCCCCGGGTTCGTGCGGAGGGAGAAAGAGAAGACGGATGGGGGATCGTAAAGCTGCTGGTCAGGCCTTGCCGCGTACCGCCGGGGAGTGCACGTGCTGCTCGAGTGCGGCTGCGATCGTCCCCTACCTCGTGCCCCCCCCCTTCTTCTCCCAAAACGGTTGCGCGTGCCAAGAAGCAAATCTGCGGGGGATCGTGGCCTTCGGGGGGGGCGTGAAGCTCTCCGGGCGGCCTGCAGGGGGGGGGGCGCGGCCCCCTCCGGGGGGGCGCGCGCCGCGGGGCCTCGGGAGAGGCCGTGGCCTCCTCGGGGGGCGCGAGAGGCCGCCGTGGCTCGCGAGGGGCCGCCCGCCGCGCGGGCGCGGGCCTGGCGCAGGCTGCAGGGCACTGCGGCCTCGGGGGTGGTCACCACCCACCAAACCACCCCAACTCAACCCGAAGGCTCAAATTTACCCTCGATTTCCAGTGGGGGGGGGGTCGGGAAACATCGAAAAAACACATGTGGAACCCTCACCCCCCCCAACCCGAAATTCGGGTCTTCGGGTTGGGTTGGGGTGGTCTGGTAGGTAGTCAGGTGGCGCGAGGCTGCCGCGACTGGCAGCATCGCTTATCCGGCCCCCGTCCCCATCCTCCTCGCCTTCGAGGCCCCCACCAGGTCACCGCCCCAGGGGGACGCGCCCCTCGAGACCCGAAGGGAGCGGCCCGTGTCCCCATCTATAGGGGGGTAAGTCGGCCAGTGGGGCCCAGGCCACGCCGCTGGGGATGGGGATCGGTTAAAAGATACGGTAGGTTCGTGTCGTGTCGACCAGCGGCGACCCCGCCAGCGGCGTTCAACGTTGAACGCCGCGGGGGACCCAGAATCGTTCGATGTGGAGCGATTGGGACGTTCCGGAAACGGCCGATCCTTCAAGGTTGAACGATCCCCGCGGTGTCAGGAACCAACGCCGGGGTCGACACGACACGAACCTGCCGTACTCATTGACGTGCACGTGCTCACTGCTTCGGGGGCGCAGCCCTGGTGCTTTTGTCAGGGACCGCGGCCTCGGGGGCGCGAGGCAGGAACAGTCTGCTCGTGATTCTTGCTGCAGGGGCGCGACTTGGGTGCGATCTGCGAGGGATTATGGCCGCGGGGACGCGAATCGGGGGAGAAGAAGATACGGATACGTGTTGTCCCCCTTCGTTTTCGGCCTTTCCTGGTCCTCCTGGGGAATCCTCGTTGTCACCGCTGGATTCGCCTCGAAATTCTGGTCAGAACGCACCCCAAGAGAGGTCCGGGGACAACACGTATCCGTATCTTTCCGCCCCCCAAGCGAATATGGTGTAAGATGTAGGGCTTATGGCTTCGGGGACGCGGCGCTGTTGTATTTCTGCGTGCCCTGGGGCCCACATGGGATTCTGAAAACCCTGGGGGGCGTGGTAATAGGGTGGTTTCGCCCCCCCCCTTGCGCGAAGAGTAACAATTCAAAGTTGGAAGCAGAAGCTAAAATTATACCAATGGACACTGGGAACGCCGGAACCCTCATCCCCGCAGCCTGCTGGTCCCTCACGGGGCCGGCGGACATCTGGTAGTTTCTGCTGTCTGGGACGCCCAGAAGATGCTGCCCCGTCGCTTCGCGCTCTCGCAGCGCGTGCGGCGCATTTTACCTCAAACCATGTGTGCGGCCAAGCAGCGCCGACGGTCACGGGTACAAGCGACGTGCTCGAGCAGTGATGCAACTCGGGGTTTACAGGGCAAGATGCTCCCACGCGCACATTCGACCTGGGGTGCGAGCTTTGTTCTTGTTGCTCCCTGGCAGACGTGGTGGGTGCAGCCGAGTGCACCAGCCTCCAGGTGTCTTTCACTCACCGCTACCTACCCCGTCTTTTTCTGCCTTCTCCTCCTCGTCCTCCTCCTCCTCGTGCTGGTCGCCTGTCGCGTGTCTCTCACTCCTTCTCCCTGTCCTGTTTGCTCCAGGGCCGACGCGACACGTGGATCGTCCTGCTCGCGTCGTGCGCGTTGGTGCGTTCATTGGGCTCGTGCCCTTCCATGTTCAAAAAATACAATTTGAGACTATTTTGGTATATTTTTTCCCGGCGGAGCCGGGTGAAATTCCGTGCCTGCTGGTGACTGACTGACTGACTGACTGATTGATTGACTGAGCGTCAGGAGGGCGCCTTGAACAACACATTTCAACCCGCCCGCGGGCGCGCAACCGCAACTGGGCGACACATTTCGACCAGCCCGCGGGCGCGCAACCGCAACCCCAACTAGGCGACACATTTCAACCCGCCCGCGGGCGCGGAACCGCAACCGCACATGGGCGACACACTTCAACCCGCCCGCGGGCGCGCAACCGCAACTGGGCGACACTTTTTAACCCGCCCGCCGGCGCGCAACCGCAACCGCAACTGGGCGACACATTTCGACCCGCCCGCGGGCGCGCAACAGCAACCGCAACTGGGCGACAAATTTCGACCCGCCCGCGGGGGCGCAACCGCAACTTCACCTGTGCGGCACATTTCAGCCCGCCCGAGGGCGCGCAACCGCAACTGGGCGACACATATCAACCCGCCCGCGGGCGCGCTACCGTAACCGCAATTACGCGACACATTTCGACCCGCCCGCGGGCGCGCAACTGCAACCGCAATTGGGCGACACATTTCAACCCGCCCGCTGGCGCGCAACCGCAACCGCAACTGGGCGACACATTTCAACCCGCCCGCGGGCGCGCAACCGCAACTGGGCGACACATTTCGATCCGCCCCGCGGGCGCGCAACCGCAACCGCAACAGGGCGACACATATCAACCCGCCCGCTGGCGCGAAACCGCAACCGTACTGGGCGACGCATTTCAACCCGCCCGCGGGCGCGCAATCGCAACCGCACCTGGGCGACACATTTCGACCCGCCCGCGGGCGCGCAACCGCACCTGGGCGACACATTTCGACCCGCCCGAGGTCGCGCAACCGCAACCGCAACTACGCAACACATTTCGACCCGCCCGCGGGGGCGCAACCGCAACCCCAATTGGGCGACACATTTCGACCTGCCCGCTGGCGCGCAACCGCAACTGCAACCGGGCGACACATTTCAACCCGCCCGCGGGCGCGCAAACGCAATTGGGCGACACATTTCAACCCGCCCGTGGGTGCGCAACCGCAACCCCAACTAGGCGACACATTTCAGCCCGCCCGCGGGCGCGCAACCGCAACCGCTCCGCTCACCCTCCGTCCTCATCCAGGGGATCCGAGGCGGAGGAAGGGCGGGAGGGAGGCGGGAGGGAGGGGGGTGGGAGGAGGGAGGCGGGAGGGAGGAGGAAGTAGGGGGGGAGGGAGGGGAGACGGACGGAGGGCAGAGAGCTTACAATGATTGGGGGCGGACAACTTCTGCCCCCCCCGTTCCACGCAATTGGATCCCCACAAGGCTCCAGACCCTGGATTCCTTATCCAAGGCCTCCACGGTCTGCTGGCGGGATGGGTGGGTTAACCGCTCCCGAGGGGGGAAACGAGGCTTTGACAGAAGCGGTCCGTTGCACCGCCTACTTTGAAGTTGTGGGGGCGATGCCACGGGGATCGATTGCGCGTTCACCCGCGCGCAAGCTGCCCGCGGAAGTAGGTACATCGGCGCCGTCTTATTCATGCGGTCTGCCGTGTCTTAGTCGTGATTTGGTGCAGGAGCAGGTAAGGGAGGAGGAGGTAAGGGAGGAGGAGGAGGATGAGGAGGAGGAGGAGGAACAGCAGGACGAGGAGGAGGACGAACAGGAGGAGGAGGAGGAGGAGGAGGAGGAGGAGAGGAGGAGGAAGGAGGAAGGAGAGGAGGAGGAAGGAGAGGAGGAGGAGGGAAGGAGGAGGAGGAGGAGGAGGAGGAGGAGGAGGAGAGCGAGGAGGAGGAGGAGGAGGAGGAGGAGGAGGAGGAGGAAGATGGGGAAGGGGGATGCCAGGGTGATGCTGCT